AACAGAAGCGAAAAAAAAAGAAACGAAAAAGGGCAGGAAGCAGAAACGAAAAAAAGAAGGAAGCAGAAATGAAGAAAAAAAGAAAAAAAGAAAAAGAAAAAAACAGAAACGAAAAAAAGGAAACGGAGATTAAAAAAATGATTGAGGAATTGTTTTTTTTTTTTTTTGAGGTGATTTTTTTAAGTTTTTTATTTTATTTTATTTTATTTTATTTGGTAGTTATTATTATTTGATAAAAATTGAAAATTCCCCAAAATTAAAGTATGTGGTAACCATATTATATAGAAGTTGTGGAGTGCCTAACACTTTCTCATGCTTAATCGACCCTCCGAACTTGGTCAATTTCTACGTAAACCTTGGTGATCTATCCCACCTTATTTGGATAGATGGCGACTCCATCCATTTTGGCACGTCAACAGTTTGGCGACTCCACTGGGGACATTGAGGAGTCAAGCCATTTATACTTTAATTTTGGGGGTTTTTCAATTACTCACTTTTGTTTTGTAGGTGGCATGGAATATTTTGTAAGTTTTTTTTATTTTGTTATTTTCATATGTTCACTTTGTGTATACTCCCTCGCACATCTCACTTGCATATCATTTTTGTCCTTGACAAGGTGAACCCGACCTATAGATAGATGGATAACTCATGGAGCAATGAAAAGCGCAATGCTTTCATTGTGAAGTGAGAGTTATCTCTTTTAGGTTCATTTTGTGAGTTAATATGGCTTGACAGCCATAATGCTGCTGCTGTATTAGGTCATGAAATACCTCTTGTTAACTCGATAGAAGTTGGTAATTATTGACTTTATGGAAGTCAATAATTGTTGACTTATGGAAGTTAGCAGTTGAAAAAGCCTAATCGTATAGGATCCACTAGGAAACTACATGTTATGGACTTAGACAAAACTTAACCCTAGGACGGCCAGCCTAGTAAATCACCTTCAAAGTTTAAGAACCTTATACATAGGACACGTGGGGAGTATTTTATTTTTAAACAATGATTTTGTGTTTCTTAGGTGAGGAATTCGACCAAGAGGTATGACATTCATTAACTCTCCTTTTTCTTTTTTTTAATAAATAGGTAATTGATTATTTTACATATGAATTCTTTGGAAAAAAAAATCAACAAAAGGAAAAGGGTGAATTTAGAGTTACAATGTCTGCCGTTATCCCAGAGGAACAAGTCACACAAGGATGTATTCTTTATGCAAACCAAAAGATCTTGTGTAAAAGACTTGGTTATTGCTTGAAACAGTCTAAGTAATCTTGACAAAGTGAGGTTTGACAAGAAAGTTGGTAGAATAGTTGATGTCTTGCAAGTGGAGTTGGACTAGGAAATCATTAGGGCAATCCTAAGATTTTATGTCCTGCGTCTTTGTTGCTTTGTTTTTTTTTCTGAGTTTAAATTTGTGCTCACCATTGAAAAATATTTTCAATTATTATTTAGTCACCCAACAACGAATTCAAAAGTTGATCAATGAAATCTATTTTGAAATGGTTGAGGTTGAGTATTTGAACTCAAATTTCACATTTTCTTGAATTCTATCTGTTGAGAAAAAGCAAGTTCCTCGATAAAAAGAAGAAAAGATATGAAGGAGGCAATCTCCTCATTATTTTTCTTTTACTTAAAAAAAAAATTCTAAAAGATCATGAAGGGGGCAATCTCCTCATGTTTGACAATTACTTGGCTCTAACTTCTCCTTCCCTTTACATGCAAATGGCTTAAGTTGTTCTCAACATCCATGTGTAAAAATAAAGAATTAGAAGTTAGGTTTACTCATTAATGGAAACATTAGGAACTTATCTTTCAAAATGCCAATTAGATAAATCCATGATTTGTTAATAATGTTTTAGGTGTTGAAAGATTGGTCCTAAAAAAAAAAAATTATCCAAGAGTTCGTTCACCTATTCTCACTAGAACTCTTGCAAGGAAGATGGCTCACGAAGCTAATTTAGAGAAGGTAGCTCTGGAAAATCGTGTTGAAAATATGAAAAATACTTTGAAGGAATTGATGGCTTCCTTCCAATCTCTTCAAGCAATCTTAGTCACAAGGGCACCTTTGACAACAAATCCTTTATTTGAAGGAAATGTTCTAGTGGCAAATCTCCCTGTGGCCACATCTGCTTTAACTCTTGGGAAGGAGCCTATGTCATCTTGCCCACCAAATCCAACTATTGGTGGAACTTCTGGGACAAAGCCATTTGATCTAAATGCTGATGTTGCTACAGTTCAATCTAATGATCAAGAAGAGACTCAAGTTGTTAAGTTAATCACAGAGGATGAAGACAAGGCAATTAAAGCGAAGGTGCAGTTGATGGAGGAAACACTAAAATCGATTCAAGGTGTCCAAACCAATAAACCGGTTGACATCTCATTTGTGTGCTTTTTCCCAAACATTCAACTGCCCCATAAGTTTATATTGCCTGAGGTACAATGGCACTGGTTGTCCTTATACCCACTTGACGATGTATTACTTTCAGGACAGTCTGACAAGTCCTGCAGATGCTTGGTTCTCTACTTTAGACAAAAGTAAGGTCAAAAGTTGGCATGATTTGACTTACAATTTTATGAAGCAGTATGAATACAATACATCACTAGCTCCTAGTAGAGAAAATCTTCAAAGGGCAGAAAATAAACGAAGTGAGAACTTTAAGGAATTTGTTCAGAGATGGCATGGATTGGCTGCTCGAGTTCAACCTCCATTGATTGATCATGAATTAAGTAATTTATTCATCAAGTCAACCGAAGGACCTTATCGTGAGAAGTTAATAACTTGTGTGAATTACACTTTTGCCCAGTTGGTTGTTGTGGGAGAACAAGTGGAGGATGGAATCAAGTCTAGAGTTATCATGGATTATCAAGCAATGAAGAGTCTCTTGAACAATACCAAAATGATAGTTCAGGGGCTTCTAGTTCAAAGAAGGTTGGCCAGAATCAAAAGAAGGAAAATGAGAATGGCTCTATAAGCTCAATTTATGAGGCATATGGAAGAAATAAACAATCACATGGGCAGTTCGATAGTCGGTTCCAAGCTTTAACTCATCAATCAACGGCTTTTACAAGCCAACCAAGGCCCGTTTACGCCTCTGGAGTCAATCGTCCACAACAAGTGAGACGACATTTTGATAAGCTTCCGTTGTCATATACTGAAGTGTTTCAAAAATTAGTAGCAGTTGGAATTGTTACTCTTGTACCTATGTTGCCAGTAAAACCACCATTTCCAGCATGGTACAACCCACAAGCAAGATGTGAATACCATAGTGGAGGTGTTGGACATGATCTTGAAAATTGTCTTGCTTTAAAGCACCATATCCAAGATTTGATAGATGCAAAGGAGTTACAGATTGCATCAGAACAAAAGGTTGTTGGTCTGAATATCACTAAAAACCCCTTACCAACACATGATAGTTCAACAGTCAATATGATCGAGAAGGATTTTGAGGAAGTTTAAGAGGTGGTTGCAGTTACTCTCACCAATCAAGTTTCATCAACTCCTAGACAACTTTTAATATTGACGGGACCGATGCTTACAGTTCCACTCAAACAAGGTTGATCTTAGAACTGTTATTGATGAGGGCTTGAATAAGTGAACAATGGAGTTTTTTTTCCTATTGCTATCATTTTGGAATGAAATGTGTCTATCATGTTAGTCTTTATTTGCATTTTCCAAACTCCCTTCATATTGCAATTTGAATCTTTGTTCTTCATGTTTTAATTCATGGTTCTTTAGTTCTTGATTTTATACTTCCATGAGTTGCACTGTTAGTAAACTTGAATTCAATGTTGAACCCCATAGAGAAAATCGAGGGTTGAGAAAAAGTAAGGGTTGAAAAGTGAGGGAGGTGATTAAGGGGAAAATAATTGATGAGTGGGAATGAGGGAAATGTACAAAGAGAAATTGATCTCAAAATTTGAAACAAACATTCCTATGATAGAAAGCTTGAGAATTCTTATCCTTACCATTTGAAACCTTTGCCAAGGAATCATATTTAAGAATTGCCACAAATTGCAC